CTGGAAATCCCATTCAATCCCATTCAATCCCATTCAGTTGCTGTTAGAATAACATTCAGTCGTTGTCCACATCAGAAGTGTCTTTGACTGTCTCTACTCAGAAGCTGTACAGTCCCCACGCTCAGCTTCACATGTGGTAAAACATCTGCACAAAGAGCCCTTTCATTACAGACAAGCTCTGGATGTGCCTTTTGATTGCTTTGTTTCTAAAACTGATCAAATATCCTCCAATCTATAGATATGGTGACAATATCTTGGATTAAATACCATAACTTTTTGTTTAAAGAACAGTTTTGTTTAATGTTCAGGATCCAAAAAGCGTTCAATACAAAAACAACTGGACTTTATTTGTAACAGAAGACGTTTCGCTCCTCGTCCGAGTTGTTTTTGTATTGAACGCTTTTTGAATTCATCATGACCTGGATGACTGAGAATCTTCACCAGCATAATGTTCAGGATCATAATCCAACCAGTGAAGACAGGGGGTTCAAATCCAAAGCTTGAACAGCACTGCCCTCTGCTGTCCAATACATGAAACTGCATGAAACATGTCTACCGATCCACACACAACACAGATGTTTAAAACAAGACAGAAAGAAACCAATCATCCATCCATCATCCAACCATCCGTCCAACCAATCCATACACATCACATGTATTTAAAATAAGAGACATAATCACAGCTGCCAAAACAAAAGGGTTTGGTTTTGAAAAAATATAATAAAATCAAGCTGTTCTGGGATTTTGTGTATTGTGCAATTTTTAAGGCATTATTTTTTAAATCGTCCCCAAAAATTCTGTAAACAGGAGACAGTGAAGAGTTGCCGAATGGGAAATGCTGACGTATCGTACCAACAGCTTATAATTATTGTATGTTGAGGAAAATTATTGTACACACCCAGTTTGCATTTTTAAGTAACTCAGAATGATCTCCTTTTATAGTAAATTTCAATAAACTTGTCTGTTATAGTTTGTAATGTGTTTTTATCATTAAGTAACCAAACAAAACAGACACTAGCTGAAGAACAGCACCTCCACTGGTGTGGAGCGCAGAATGAGCCACCACCAGCACCGAACACCATCAATATTCAGTTTGTCAGACTGTTAATATTCAGGGCCGCAGCGGGACTCCTTTTCATTCCTGGAGCTTCATGCCTCAGACTGGCCCACTTTACATCACAAGTCTTATTATTAAAATCATGTAATTATAACAAACAATCGTGCACTGTCCTGTGAAGCCTCGTAATTCAGTGTGTTTTTCTCCAATCTTTCCAATTTAGTGAAAGTAAGTGCTGCTTCACAATGTGATTTATTTCAACATGAGTGCACATCTTCAACATTATTCTCTGCAAAACATCCTTTTCAACAATATCACAATCTATATTCTGTTCAAATAAGTGTTAACATATATTCAAACCTTAAAAATGACATAAAATAATATGTAAATATATTAAATAAAAACTATAAAAAGAGGTGTTGCACTTACTATTAACACTATCATCTCTTTTTCACAACTTCTCGTTAACTCTGTTCCTGTGTCAAATCAGCACGAGATCCTGAACTGTTTCAACAAACATTTTGTTGCTTCTGGTTCTTTATTTGACACAGTTACTAATGGAAGATCAGCCACTTCACTTAATAACCAAACTTCTACAAATCAAATCCCTCCTACAAGTCAATCCTCAGTTAATCACAGCTTCTCTTTTTCTCCATTCTCAGTCAGTGAGGTCAATAAACTGTAAAAAGATCTTGATCCTAAAAAATCTGCAGGTCCAGATGAACTTCCACCTTATTTCTTAAGGCTGGCTGCTCATATCATCACAGTCCCTGTGACCCACATCTTCAATCTCTCCATGAGACAAAACTCCATCCCAGACACTTGAAAACAGTCTTTGTTCCTCCTACATGTCTCTGTGTGAGTGCAGCTACAGCGTGCGCTCTCAGGACATCATTACCTGCAGTGTTCCCTCAGTGAGGACTGAACTAGACAAAAGGACCTTCTCCTACTCCGCTCCTGTTTCCTGGAAGATCTTGGAAAAAGATCTGAAGCTCTCGACCTTTGACCTCTCTAAGTGGCTTTAAGAATCTGTTGGACTCCTGGCAGGGACCAATGCAGACATGTTCCTGTTTTTAGTTTTCTACATTCACCTTAGAATCTAGATGTTTTTGTTACTTTTTTTGCATCTTATTTGTTAAAAAAAAAAAAAATCTGTATGCCTTTTTATAACTGTCCATTGTTGTCATCTTTCTTTGTTGAAATCACGTCTCTCTTGTAAATGAGTCCTCGAGGCTCAATGGGATTTACCTGTCTAATTAACGGTTGAATGAAAAAAGTTTGATGTGTACAGTTTAGCAATCTTCTCTGGGGTCAAAGTTTAGAATCATAAATCACTCCCATCTCTTCAGCAGTTTTACCTCCCAGAGCGGAAAAAAGCAGAAACACGTAAGAAAACACATTTGCACAGTGGCTGGGAGGAAAAGGTCTTTCACAGTGTTGAAAGACAAGTGTGTCTGTGTCACGTTAGTGAGCTGTGGCGACAGCAAAGCGAGGTGAAGCGCCACTCCATCAGCTTCAGTGCTGACTAGCCCCCTGGTGTCACGACAGACAGAAGAACGTCAGCGCTGAAGGCACCTCTGAACAAACGGCAGACGGTTTCATGAGGCATTTTCAGGTGTGGAGCTCTTGAAAAAAGCAATGACAGAATATGTGAAAATAATTTATTTAAAAAGAGTAAAAGATGTGATGATTAGTAAAAAAAATGCAGATCTGAGGATCAGTACTAATGTCACATGATTAATTTAAAAATGTATTTTTTTTTAATTAAATTACAGATATTTTGTATCTGAAAGAGTTAGTTATTCTGAAATGTTACGAACACAACAGTTGGTGCAAACAGGGCCTGACTGGAAGATTTTATTGTTAATAGGTAAGTTGTTAATAGTAATAAATAGTAATAAAAGGCATATTTTGAATGAATGTTACAAATGTGTTCATTCCTACAAAACAGTTAATAAAAATTTATAAAATATGCAGAATTTCAAATGTTACTGATTGAGATTAACATAAAAGAAATGGTAATTTATGTTTAAATATCAGTTTTCTGCTGTAGTAAATCATCCGTTTTGTCCCCTTTGTTTGGGATTGGAGCCCGTCTCAGCTGCTTTTGGGTGAAGGCGGGGGACGACCAGGACACGTCTCCAGTCCATCACAGAGACACAGACAAAGAGACTAACAACCATCCACAGTCCCAGTCACAGCTAGGAACAATTTACAGTCAATCAGAAGAGCCAATAAAGGATTCAAACTGGGGACTCAAGTTCTCGATTGAGAGTTCTAATCACTAATTATCAATAACAATTGATCACATGCTAAATCCTTACTGATAATCAATGTGTGCAGTCTTTAATAATACAGATCAGATCAGATGTGATCAGGCAGGAACAAGTATAAACTTGTTACTGCATTTGACATCCCATTACAAGCAGTAAGACGCTGCTTATACTATTACTGTTCTACTGTTGCACTTTAAAGGGAATATATCCTCAGAGACTTCATTAAAGCAAAAATTTATATGATTAGATCTAAATATTTATATTTTCCACTCCCCTCCAAAATAAAAGAAATGCAATTTAAAAGATCAGCAGCATGGACAGTCAGCAGCACATACCAACAATTAAGTGGCATTACAGTGATTTTCCACAGTGATTATCCTGGTTAGATACTCATGAGTCAAACAGCCTCAGGGTAGAAGCTGTTCCTCAGTCTAGTGGTACACTTAATGCTCTTTAACCTCCTTCCTGAGGGGAGTGGGGCAAAAAGTGTGTGTGCTGGGTGAGTGGGGTCCTTCATGATGCAGGTGGCTCTCTTCCTGCATCTGGAGGTGTAGGTGTCTGATGGTGGGAAGGCTGACTCCATCTGTGCAGCCTTCACCACTCTCTGCAGAGCTTTTCTTTCTGCAGCTGTGCAGCCTCCATGCCACATGTTGATGCTGGAGCACAGGATGCTCTCCACTGCACACCTGTAGAAGGAGGTGAGGACTGAGCTTCTAGACCAGCTCGTCTCAGCCGTCTGAGGAAGTAGAGTCTCTGATGAGCTTTCTTCATCAGGCTGGTGGTGTTGTTGCTCCAGCTGAGGTTGTTGTTCAGGTGCACACCCAAGTACTTGTAGCTGGAGACCACTTCCACTGCCTGCAGATCCTCCTATGTTCGGGGGCTGGGTAGGTGTGTTTGTTCCGTCTGAAGTCCATGACCATCTCCTTCGTCTTCTTCACATTGATGTGAAGGTTGTTCTTCCTGCACCAGCTCTCCAGGTTTCCCACCACCATTGTATCGTCTGCAAACTTTACAACAAACAGCCTAGATCGGTAGGTGTTAAGTCGTAAGTGAGTAAAGTGAACAGGAGGGGGCTCAGCACACAGCCCTGCGGGAAGCATGGGGGAATACATGACGAAAAAAAAAAAGAAGTTCAGTCATTTAAAAAAAAATTGGTGATTAAGTATCGAGCCATCAGCATAACAGTGATATTGGACAAACACATGTTGATTTGTTATGCAAAAAAAAAAAAAAGTCTAAACATCAGTGCCTTTTGATGTTGAAATGCTTGCAATGTACCTCAACAGGATAATCTATCTATCTATCTATCTATCTATCTATCTATCTATCTATCTATCTTCATATATATATAAACTTGATCAATGAAAATCACATTACTTTCAGTTTGATTCCTTCAAGGCACATTCAGGGTTAGGAGAAATAAAAAAAAGGAAAAACAGAGTAAACACAACCAGCCAATCAGCGTTTGTCTGTCAAACACAGCCAGCCAATCAGCGTTTGTCTGTCAAACACAGCCAGCCAATCAGCGTTTGTCTGTCAAACACAGCCAGCCAATCAGCGTTTGTCTGTCAAACACAGTCAGCCAATCAGCGTTTGCTCTCTAGGAACGCCCACAGAGAAGCTGCTGGTGAAGTTGGTTCAGAAAAAAAGGGGCTGGCTCCACAATAACTGCAAGTGGACGAGCAACCGTGCGTGCAGACTAACCGTGCCGGCCAGGCGCTGCAGATAATGAGTGTCTGCAGAAATCTTTCCACCTTTTCCACATGTGCAGCTTTGTCTCTGTGGATCCTATTTGTCGTTGCATGGCCGGTCCAAAGCCAACTGGGTTCTGAGAATAAAGTAATGGACAACATCACAGTCCGACAGGGAGAGACGGTCCTCCTCAGGTCAGTACTTTTCATGCCTTCCTGACAGATTAGGTTTGAGCTTATGGATCCTGCCCGAGCTTCCACTGGATCAACAAAAACAGAATGGTTTGTGTTTCATGAAGGGAGTCTGCAGATCTGCATGGGTCCAAAAGGGAAGGGGAAGTTTAAGTTGAGAGATGGTGAGGTCATTTCAAGCTTTAACTCAACAGTTGCCTTCAAGTGCTGCTGGGAAACATAAAAGTTTTTGAAATCCTAGATCAGTTTTAAGAACTACAAAGTAAAACAAATGGAGGAGAATTTGAAAATCTGCTTTAAAATTATGCTCTATCTTATCATTGTCAGACATGTGTTATTTTACATTTCATATCATGACTGCATCACAATAGAATAACCACTTTTGTTTGTTTGAAGGAACACGTGAACCCACCACCTGTCAGGGTTTTAGGCTGAGCTCATGTTGTGTTAAACTGAAACCACATTATGTTCTGTCTTGTAAAACACCAGGGCCGTGTTAGCACGTGGAAACATTAAAAATGAGACTCAACTACTACAACATAAAGACTTAGTTCAATACTTCAAAAATGGAGTCAGTATTTAGCCGTTTCTCTGAAGCTGCGGATGATTAGCTGTAGCAGCAAAATTGGTTGACTTCAATTTTATGTGCCACAGAGGTACAGACATTTCTTAAATTACACCAAAATGATTTTTGTGTGGAGATTTCGTACTCTCCCTGTGCACGTGTGAGTTTTTTCTCTAAATCATTCAGTTTCCTCCCACGCTGAAGTAAATGCAGCACATCAGAATCATTCATGTTCCGTTCATTGGTGAACAACCTGCACATGGCTGTGAGTGAGACTTGTTTTCTTATGTAGGTCTCTGAAGGACTCACGACCTGTCCAGGTGTCCCTCTGATGGACTCGCGACCTGT